TGGCAGACCAAAGCTGCAGTCAACAACTAGCACGAGTTTCCTGGATACCAGCCTTCACACAGAGGAGGCAGCACTCCTTGCCACCCCCACCCCCCCACCAGGTAGATCTGTAGGTCAAGGACTCTGCTCTGTGTTGCACACACCCACACACATACAACATAGAACTCAAGCTAGAATTCAATAGCTTGAAGAAATCACCTGATTCTTGGACCTTCTTACCTGGATCTCAATTCTTCTGTAACATTTTTAATCAGTCAAGATGGACCCTTCTTCAGGAATAAAAAGCCCCAATATCTCAGAATTGCAGAGCTCTCAATATGTCCAGAGCACTTCATGGAAATCATTCCATCGTAAAGACTAGAGAGAGTTCCATCCCTTCATGGATTCAGCTTCCTAAGGAGAACACATTCGAGGCTGCATCCAGAGGCTTAAGGCACTCTCTTTTTAACAAGTTAGTGGCCAAAAGGGCAGAGGAGGGAGGTAAAATACTCACATCATAACCAGGCCAGCAGAATCCCCTGGTCTTGCCATTACATGTGATGCTTTCAAGTGGGTTTTTAGTACCTTAATTTTGAGGGAAAGGGTGAAGGGAACCAGCCAATGCTTTCGCATGCTTAGTTTCTGTTTATGACACTGAATCAAGAGAACTGAGACCTTTGGAGAAACCAAAGATGGTTCAAATGACTCTTATGAGAACGAATTAACTTAATGTTCCTAGCTGACAAGTTGAAGTTTCTTAATTGTAAAGCAGAACCAGCAGCCACCAACAGAGAAGGCCTGCGGCACAGATGGAGAAGAGACAAACTACCAAAACTTGGCCTCAGGGACCTCCCCAGCTGAGAGGAGGCAGGGCAAATAGGATCAACAAGGCATTTCTCAACAAACCAGTTTCAGAGCAGCTGGCTTATTAACATCTTCAGATCTTGGCACTCTCTTGGCCTATCAGCTTGGGGGGAGGGGTAAGAGGGAGACTCTACATTGTTGCCCCAGGAGAAGCCACTTCCCTTCTAAAATGCCTGGGATTTTCCACTTCAGCAGGGGAAGGTAACTCAGCACATAGCAGAACAAATGGCCTCCCTGCATAGTCTTGAGTCAGAAACATAGCAGAACAAATGGCCTCCCTGCATAGTCTTGAGTCAGAAACACAGCAGGGCAGATGTGCCCCTTCCCTGGCCTTGGGGGAGCTAGGCCCCAGAACATCCTCCTTCTCAGAAAAGCTGAGGCCAGACCAAGACGTTGCCAGCAGCCACAACAGGGCAGTGAAGACATCAGAGCTGAGGCTCTGAGGGCCAGAACTGAGGTTGGGTCAGGCTGGGAACTGCCAAGAGCTTTGGTCCGGAAGCCTGGCTGCCCTCCAAGATCAGCTGACCCTTTCCAAATAGATATACCATATGTCCCTAATATTCTCTCTCCAAGTAACACCAGCACTTTTCCCAAAGAAGAGACACTTCCCAGAGCCTTGCAGGTCTGCTATCTGCCTAGTGGGACACAGTCCCAGAAGGAGTTGTTGAATCACCCACTGTTTCAGTTTGCAAACTTCTTATGACATGTGACGAATGAAACTACACTCTGACAGCAACTGCAAGTTCCCTAGTACCCAATGACTTCCCTTTTTTGTTTTATCTTGGTTTTTCTCCTGCCAAATCACAAACCCACCCACCCCTGACCCCAGAATACATGCAGAGGGCAAAACACTACACCTTAACTTGTGAGTCGTGGAGAACACCTTTCTTCCTGGGAGCTTAAGTACCAAAGGGAACGTAATATTTCCCCCTTTACCGTGAATGCATTAATGGACCCTCTGATTGGACTCAGTCAACATGTAGGAAAGCAGCCAGGGGCAATAACCCTGAGAAACACAGACAAGACCAGCCAGCCCTAGAGAAAGTGGTAAAGGAAGCACAGCTGCCTTGGTTTCCCATCTGTATATTCCCATTTGCCCGTTCCTCTATGGTCTCTCAGCTGACAGTTACTTCATATCAGCAACGGTGCAATTCAGTAATTAAGGTATTAGTTAATAAAAGCCGACAGCGTAGCCTTTCCTGGTCATTTGTGCATATTAAAATATGAGGGATGAGTTCTCCAAATGGAAAACCCATTGAGATGCAAAAGAAGGAAGTTATCATGGTGGAATTACGGATGTTGCATTAACACTTTAGGGTAAAGGAGGACCCATTTCTCCAACAAGCAAATGCCAACACAAGGCACTAAAGCTAAAAAAAAAAAAAAAAAAAAAGACCCATAAAAGCAATATACAAGGGAGCAGACCGTCCCTCCCAAGCCGTCCACCCTCCCCGCCCCATACACACATACATTCCCACACACACACAACTTTCCCTTTTCTGGCTGCAGAGACACAAGGTCTGGTGTTAAGCCAGGATCCCTCGCTCGCTCTTGAAAGGAAATGACCTGAAAGTTACTCTCAGGAGTTTGATCTTAATGGTCTCGAAAAAAGGGGAAAATCACTCTTTTTGTTTTGTTTTCCACTTTATACCATAAAATATTTTCAACAAAACATAGAATCTCATTTCTTTGGGAGAAAAATAATTGGAAGACCAGCTTATTAATAGCACAGTGGTCTGGCTCAGTCATGTTTCCTTCATAGGCAAGACACCACGAGAACTAACACAGCTGAACTGGAAGAATGCTCCAAAGCAGAGCCCGAGTCTAGGAATGCTACAAAGAGCTAACATGTATGTGCCAAGAATTGTTCAGACTTCCTCTCAGTCAATCTTCATAACGATCCTAACAAAGAAGAACTACTATTATCCCAGTTTACAGATGAGCATAAAAGCGTACAGATCCTTGAGGTAACTTTACCAGGGTCTCACAGCTAACAAGTAGCAGAGCTGGGCTTTGAACCCAAGCCGTGTCTCCCCAGAGCCTATACTCTACCATGTGAATTGTATAGGTGGCATCCAGACAACTGAAAATTATGATGTGTGTGTGTGTTTGTGTGTATATACACACATATAGAGAGACCAATAATGTATATACAAAGGTGAGTACCTGGGTAGCCAAGAGAACCCCTCTCAGATTAGGGTGACGGAGGATTTTGTTGAAAATACTGTTGTGTAGGTTCTACCTCTGGGGAAAAATCTGGGAAAGGAGGGAGACTTCCTTTTCCCTATAGGCCCTGATGTCCTATTTGAACATTTTCTCATGTACACATACTTCCTATCAAAAAGCACTTTTAATTGGAAAGATAAAGCTCTCTGTTTTTGGGTCACTATGTTTAAGTATTTGAAATTTACTGAGTTGTAGTTTTTTGTTTTTTTAAATGGTATTTGAGAAAAAGCAATCCCAAACTACAGAGGCTCATCACAGGGCAGTGCAGGGGCAGCTGGGAGGGGCGGTGCCATTCAGTACAAGAGCAAGAACTCTGCTTGAGAATGTCTGAGTCGCAGAAGACCAAAGAGCACTAAAAACAAAACCATCCAGCAATCCTCCCCCTTTTTCATTTTTAAACTAAAAGTCCAGCTACGTACGGCCACAGGACCCCTGCTTCTCTGTATAGGCAGTCAGTGGAAGAGTGGGTGACCTCACTTTCCCCAATAGGCATGTCCTAAAATGCTATGAGCAAAACAAAACTTTAGCAAATCGATTCATATCTTAAATGCCCTAGCAGTAGTCATTGTTTTAGCAATCCCAAAGAGATCTCTTTTGCAAGGCAAATACCCGATTAAGATGTTAACACCATGTTTTGTAAATAACGTTTTGGTGCAGCGTAAGGGTCCCAGTTTTGGGCTGGAGCCAATCCCCAGAGCTGTCTGGTGTCTGGGAGACTGGTGGGCAGCCTAGCCTAAAGTCCATTTGCATGAGACCAAGGACCTTCCTGCAAGGGGCATCATCCAAGGGCAGAAAAGGTCCGTACAAGCTTGAACCACTAACAAAGGTCCAAGCATTGGAAGGGAGGCATGATTCAAAGCCTAGAGCCCTGTCTTTTGTCAGTAGATTTCTTCCCAGCCGCCTTTGGAGTCAAGTCAAGTCATATAGGGAGAGGGAGCTGTGAACACAAGCTCTGGAAGATGCCACAGCCCCTTTGATGTCCCTATTAAAGAGGTGATAGTGTTCTCCCCATTTCAGCTGCAAACCAAATGGGCGTCGGTGCCTTGAGGGCTCCAGCAGACCCAGCGCCCTACAGGCATCTCCGGGGCTCCCCAACCAGAGCAGGATGGCACGGTTGCTGGGCAGTGGAGACACCCAGGTAGCGCCGCTGACAGCACCAGAGCACAAGGCAACCCTTTTGATACAAAGATCAAAGTCTTCACAGGGAGGATCCTGAAGGGGCCTCTAGGGAGAGGGAAGGGCTGTAGTGGACCTCACCTAGTGGGCTGGAGCAGGTGAGGAGGAAACTGGCAGGTGCCACGTGGAAGCAAAAAGGAGTCATTTATGTGTGCACCAAACACTCCACCTGGAGACTCCTAGAAATAACTGCATGAGATTTGGGGGTGACCAGGAAGTTCTGCACCAGCTGGTCACGGCGACAGCCAGAAAATACAACAACAGCAGATTACTTGTATTATTTTACTTGTAACCCCAGGCTGGTGGGTTGTCGTGTGGTCTGAGGAAACTCAGGTCAGGATATCTTAGGTTTTTTCAAATACAAATTAACGGGAATACTATATCCTAACCTGTTAATCTGATAATTGAAGTATTTTTTTTAAGCATAGTTAACTTCAGCTTTTTTTTTTTTTCTTGTAATAATCCATGCATGACTCAAGCTTTACTTTCTTTCTCAAGAGAGGCCAAAGTGCTGAGTCACTAAAAAAAAAAAAAGAAAGTAAAGAAAAGGGATCTCACTTCTAGGGTTAGCCTCGGTGACGACCTCAGCGGCACTTCTTCCCCCCGGTTATGATTTCTGTGATGCTAAAGGACGTCACATTGCACAATCTTAATAAGGTTTCCAATCAACGCCTCCCGCCCTGGCTCTACACTCCCATCAACAAAGGTTTATCAAATGTGGGATTTTCCCATGAGTCTCAATATTAGAATCTCAAACCCCAATAAATAGGAGACTGGGGATGTCTGACGCTCATTCTGCCCTCCAGCCTACCAGGATCAAAAGAGAGCTCCATCTGCCCTCCAGGAGTCTAACTATGAACTTCGTCTCCACAAGTAAGTGAAGGAAATCCCAAGCCCTGGGACTGACTGGCTGCCAAGTGCAGTGCGAGGGAGCATGTGGTATGTCCGGTGGTGGGGCTGGCGGCCGGCCAGCAGCCAGCAGCACAGCTCCCCCAGCTGTGCAAATAGCTCACTCACACTCCTCCTTCCCTCCGGCACAGGCACTTTCAGTCTAGTTGCCTTCTGCCTGGGGCTGCTCCTGGTGATGGCTTCTGCTTTCCCCACCCCGCCACTCCTGGAAGGAGATTCCAAAGATGATGCCACCTCAAACAGACCACCACTCACCTCTCCAGACAAAACCGAAGAACTCATAAATTTCATCCTTGCCAAAGTCTCTGTACTGAGAAAGGAGGTAGGTAGGCTTGACTGTGGTGAGGAAGTGCTGGTGTGGGACGTTCATTCTCCTTCTGCCTGGATGTGGACAGGGACATTGGGAGGTCTTTGCTGGGTCCTGGACAGGTTAGATTTAAGCCCAAAGGGGGCTGATTGTCTTCTGTATTCCTTCTCTGCTGCTGGTCTCTGGAAATTGCTTTCCTTCCTGAGAAATACAGAATGGAGCTTGAGTCCGTGGCCCCTGGTCCATTCTCAGCTCCATACTTGGCATGAGCTGAGGGTCATTGCTTCTCAGGGCTCTTTTTTCTCTAGCCAAAAATAAGGCCCGTCAGCCTTCTTTTTGCCCTTAGGCTTTGGGAGGATTAGAGAAGTGCCACCTGAAAGGAATGTTCAGCTTTTCGGGCCAGCTGCAGTACTTTTCAGTTTGCATGCTCAGTAGTTAGGACTTCTAAAGTTATTCCAGCTAAGATGCATACTATATAGCCCACAAAAGTGGAAATATCAATAGGTTGGAGCAGCCCCCAAGCATTCTTTCTTTTTTTTTTAATACTAATTTATCATGTTTTTGGTAAAAGTTTACACAGCGAATTAGGTTCCCGTTTGGCAATTTCTATACAGTTTGTTCAGTGACATTAGTTCATTTTTCACAATGTGTCAATATTCTCTTTAATTGTGTTCTTGTCGTTCCGTCAGCCCCCAAGCTTTAAATAGCAAGGTATCTGGCTCTTGTATGGTGGCAAGGAAAGAACACGGAAGATGGACTGGAGGCCTAGATTCTAGTTTCTGTTCTGCTGAACCAGCTTTGTGATCTTGGGCAAATCCCCTACTACCTCTGGGCCCCATCTGTAAAATTATGGGATTGGACTAGCTGATTTCACAGTTCTTTCCAGCTGGAACATTCTGTGGCTTGAATTATATTCACCACATTAACATCAAAATTATTATCACTTACTAAGTACCTATAAGGTTGCTATGAGTCAGAATTGACTCAATGGCAATGGGGTTTTGGAGTACTGGTGGTATAGTGGTTAAGAGCTTGGCTGCTAACCAAAAGTCAGCTGTTCAAATCCACCAGCTGCTCCTTGGAAACCCTATGGGGCAATTCTACTCTGTCCTATAGGGTCGCCATGACCCAACAGCACCTAACAGCAACAACAAGTACCTACTGTGTGCCAAGTACTTTACGCAAATTTGTCTAATCCTCCCAACAAATTTACAAGAACAGTGTTTAATTATCCCCAATTTGGAGATAAGGAAACTGAGATTCAGGATAAATAACAAGCGTGAAGTCACAGGTGAGCCAGGAATTGAACCCAGGTGTGCCCAATTCTACTCTACCTTGTTTGCTAGGATGCTAATGGGTTGTGACCTCGTTCTTAGAGAACTTCCTGGCTGAGGCAGAACATGAATCGGCCCTCTAGTGGTGTTTGTTTTAGAGGCATTTACATGATACAGATTGATATTCCTTCCCAGATGTGTGACAAATATGACAAGTGTGACAACAGCAGGGAGGCACTGGCAGGCAACAATCTGAACCTTCCAAAGATGACAGAAAAAGACAGATGCTTCCAGTCTGGATTCAATAAGGTATGAACTCACACATTCACTTTTAGCTATTGCGTAGGCAAAAACTCTGCCTTTTGCGCGCAGTACCTGTGTATATAGACACATGCAGGCAACAAAAGAGCTGTAAAGTTCATCATGTAACTTTCATGAGGAGGGAATTGAAAGCTTTTTTAAATGCAATTTATTTTTGAACAGGCATGGTCAGAAATGACCTCTCTGTGTTCAAGTTTTCGTATCTGTCAAGTGTTAAGAGTGAAACCCAGCAGGTTTAGCTAGTCTGTCCTGGGTAAGGTGGTCCGGTGACCTTTCTCCTCTTTGGCTGCCCCTGGCAGGATCCCCGCCCTCCCTCCCTGCTGAGGTCATTCTCTACACCCATCTCGTTCCAAACAGTGAGATAACCTGCACTGATTTCTGATTATTCCATAAAAGCAGGTCTCAGCCTAACACTGACAAGGGCAGGAGTGCAGCCAGAGGGAAAAGCACCAAGGAAAGAATTAGAGAAGGGTCCGGTTGCCGCATTCTACCATCTGTTGGTCTTTGAGTGAAATTAAGTGGTGCCTCTGGTTACCCAGATATGTAAAATGCAGCAGCTGATGTTGTCTGATGTCCCAAACATGATGCCTAAGAAGTACTTGAAGTTCCCTAGAGGGGCAAGGAAAGGAAACAGCCGAATTATACCTATTTTAACTTTTAAAATCTTTATATCTTCCTAATAATAATCAATGTTTCCACCATCTTTCCTTTATAGGAGACTTGCCTGATGAGAATTGTCACTGGTCTTTTGGAGTTTCAAATATACCTGGATTACCTGCAGAACAAGTTCGAGGGCAGTAAGGGAAATGTCCTTGTTGTGCAGAACAGCATCAAAGCCCTGGTCCAGATCCTGAAGCAAAAGGTGAGTGTCTGCCAGCCCTCACCTGGCATGGGGAAGAGAGGCTCAAACAAGGCTGCCTAGAGAACTTGGGGATGCTGTGGCGATTCAGAAATGATGGCTACACGTAAAGGAAGGATCTGAGAAATACTTCTTGATAGCTAAACTTTTTTTTTTTTTTTTTTTAGAATTTTTTGTAGGGTGCCTTCTGCAAAGGGCATTGAAGGGCATTGGTAACTGCATTTAAAACTACATTAAATGAGGTGGATTTTAACATCAATTTCTAATTGCTTAAGCAATTAAAAAATAGAAGGAGGCACATCCAAGTATGCTTAGCGACGTATAGTAACAAAGAACAAAAATTATTTTAATATCTTAATTATTGCCAAGTGACATTCTTGTCATTACGGTAGTGTCAACTCCTTTTTCCTATTTTTTACTGGAAGAGTTAGTGCAGAGAAATGGCCAAAAGCTGCAGGGTGCAAGAGGAGGTACCAAGGGCTTTGGTCACCCACTAGCTACCTATTGAAATGTCAAGTAATGGAGACTTGACTCAACAAGGTTTGAATGAGCTGCTGGGCCTTTACTAGCTATTTTCCTTAAACCACTTCTCACACTTGAAAGTGCACATGAATCCCTGGGCATCTTGTTCCAATGCAGAGTCTGATTCTGCAGGTCTGGAGTGGGACCTAAGATTTGTGTTTCTAACAAGCTCCCAGCTAATGCTGATGCAGCTCAAGGAAGTGCGGAGCTTTTAACAAGTTACTTCTCCCCATGTTCTGTGGATGTTTCCCTGCCTCTTTACACCCCTAGATCAGAGTCCACAGCCAGGTACACTGGATTCTCAGTAGATGCTGGATGAATGGGGAAGAGGGAAATCAGAAAAAAGCGTTAGAGTTAGAGACTAGTGAAGAACCCACCTCAAAGCCTTTAATTATGGGCCCTTCAATCACTTATTCAGTCAGCAAATATCTATGAAATTCTAACTATCTGCCAAGCACTGTCTCAGATAACAGAATAGAAGACAAATAAAATTAGGTGGCTGTCTTCAAGATGCTCATGGTCTAATGGAAGAAAGAGCCGCAAAGGGATGATTATAATTCAGTTGCTCTGAAAGGGGCCTAAGCAGGGTGGGCTCGGAAGAGAACCACTTCACCCCATAGGGCAAGTCTGGGCAGGCGGACCCAATTATTCTCACTTACCTCAGCCTTGAACATCTTCCCACAAGTCAAAGCATCTCTCTGCTGCAAAGGATTTCTTCAATATTTAAACTATCCATTTTTTTGTTTCCGCTTTCAGGTAAAGAATCCAGAAGAAGTAACCACCCCTGATGCAACTGCAGATGCCAGTCTGCTGTCTAAGTTGCAGCCACAGAGCGAGTGGCTGAAGAACACAACAATTAACCTCATCCTGCGAAGCCTGGAGGAATTCATGCAGTTCAGCCTGAGGGCTGTTCGGTTCAAGTAACCTGGACATCCAAGATCATTGTAGTTCATGGGCATTCCTTCACCTGGTCAGAAACCTGTCTGGTAGGCACATAACTTATGTTGTTCTCTATGAGGAACTAAACAGTATGGGCGTTAGGACACTATTTTAGTTATTTTTAACTTATTGATATTTAAATATCTTGAGATATGTTATTATTTCAAAACTAATATATAAAATAAAATGGATATCCAGCTTGAACATCCTCATTGTTTCAGAGCCAGATCATTTCATCGAATGTGTAGGCTTACCTCAAATAAACGGCTAACTTATACATACTTTTAAAGAAATATTTATATTGTATTTATGGAATGTTTAAATTGTTTTTATACCAATAAACTACCTTTTTTAAAAAAAAAACTCAGCAGCTAAGTCTGTGTGTGTTCTGTCCTGCGAAGCTTAATCGTGTCACTACCACCATCACCAAATATGTATAATGATATAATGGGGGCAATGGACTTAGCATGGTAACTGGCACATAGTAGGTGCTCAATTATATCTTTTACCTGGAGATATAATTGAGCACCTACTACATGCCATTTACTATGCTAAGTGTACTGCATCCATCATATCGTTTAATCCCAGTAGCATACTCTTTTACAGATGTGGAAGAGTGATGTGCCTAAGTCACCCAACTGGAAAGTAAGACACAGGGCCAGATTTGGAATTGGCCTCCAGGTTCCCTACTCTTAACCTTTAGGCCCTACGGCCTCCCAGGGAACTGAGAGATGATATAGAAAACCCCAAGTCATGTTAATACAGAGAATAAATTTAATGGCAGCCAATTGCCTTTGAGACCATGCAAACACTTGTATCATACATAGCAATGTGCAAGTTTCCAAAAATAACTAGAAGTTCTGTCTCCCTCCTCTGGGTTCCTCAAATTCTGCACATACCTATCTGTCACAGCACCTACCACGTTATATCATATCTTAAAATCTATGGATTTTTCTTTCCAGACAGCATTTGGATACCTCAAGAAGGCAGACTATATTCATCTTTACATCCTAGGCCCAGAGTCTGAACATAAACCCATTGCCATCAAGTCAATTCTGACTCATAGTGACACTGTGGGACAGTAGAACTGCCCCATAGAGTTTTGAAGGCTGAAATCTTTATGGAAACAGACTGCCACATCTTTTTCCCACAGAGCAGCTGGTGGGTTCAAACCACAGACCTTTTGGTTAGCAGCCAAGTGCTTAACCACTGTACCACCAGGGCTCCTTGAACCTGAACATAGGAGGCCCCAATAAGCATTTGTTGAATGATGAAAGCATGCATAGATGATCAAATATAAGACACTTCCATTCCTGGGCACATACACTGCTAGCCAGTGAGTGGGGGAAATTGCCAATACTGCGCATTTATGTATCTTCGTCTTAAGGAAAAATAGCAAAAGTTAGAAAGAAACATTCTAAGGACTTATAGAGGAGGCAATGAATAATCAGTACCTGTACATCTACCTCCATTTCTCTTCGGCCTGCAATTTCCTTTCCTGCTGGCAACATTCTTCAACTGCCTTCCTCCCCTCCCTACCCTCACCCCCCAGTTCAGAGCGGTGGGGAAGGAGAGGCAATATGGACAACTGCACATGACCCCTCCACCCCACCTCAACACAGTGTTGGGAATTTGGTAAAGATTCCCCTTTCCGACCCCAGCAATACAAAGTTCTTTCTTCTAATAAAGCTTCCTCTCACTCTAACCACCATAGACTTCTTCCCCCAGGGGAAGAGTTCTGCTGGGCAAGGGAAAGTCCACAGAGGCCAAGAACTGAGAGGGGCTGAGCAAGGAGGAGCCACACACTCTGACTTCTAGAAACCACAGATGGTAAGTGAGCATCCCAAAATCAGGCTCAAATCAAAAAGAAAGAGAAATAGCAACTGACAAATTCATCCATTCTTCAGATGAAAATGTACTGAGCACCAAATACAAGTCAGGAAATTCTGGGCATACAGAGGTGAAAAAGATAGCATGGTCCCTGCCAGCACAAAGTTTACACTATAGAAGGGAAAACAGGCACCAAACAGAGAACCTAAGTGTGATGACCTTCACAAAAGAAAAATGTGAGGTGTACTAAGAACCTATACTTGGGGCACCTATAGCAGGGGAACCTAACTAGGCCTGGAGATGGCAGTTATGGAGGCTTCCCTGAGGAAGAGATGTTTTGGCTGGGATGTGAAAGGTATGTAGGCATTAACTAGGCCAGGATGGGTGGGAAGAGCATTCCAGGCAGAGGGAACAGCAAATCTAAGGATCTGAATCCACAAAGGGCACACTCTGGTTGAGAAATTGAAAACTCTACAGTATGTACAGTACATAAAGAGCAAGAAGGAGGGTGGTTGAGATGGAGTAGAGAGGGAGGCTGGGACTAGATCAGGGACAGTATGAGAAGCCATATTAAAAATTTTGGAAATTACCCCTCATGTGTAAGAAGGCATTGGTAGATTTTAAATAGTGGAATATGAGATTTACATTTTAATAATATCTCTCAAACTGTAGTCTGGAGAATGGATGGGAAAAGGGCCAGAAGATAACACTGAGGGAACATTGCAGAGTCCATCATTGTAGTCCAGGGGAGAGATGACAATGGCCTGAATTAGGGTGGTGGCAACAGCAAGAGGAGAGAAAGCAGTGACCACTATCAGTGAAAGATAGTTAAGAGCTAGATTCAGTGGGATTAGTGATCAGTAATCAGGGTGCAGGAATTCCAAAGGACACAGTGAAGGCTCTGATGGATGGAGAAAACAGGGGTTGGAAGAGGGGTTGGATAGAGAAGTAAAAGCACAGAGAATTTTGGGTTAGAGGGTATTCATTAATTCATTTATTCAAATATCCTCTGAACATCTACAATGTGCCAGATTCTCTCTTGGGCCCCAGGAATACAAAAGGTAAATAAGACAGAAAAGGTCTCTGCTCTCAAAGAATTTACAGTCTAGGGAAAACAATTTTAAGAAATAACTACCATGCCGTGTTGTAAGTACAAGAAACTATGATAGCACACAGTAGGAGCATCTAATCAAGACTGGAGCATTCAGGAAAGGCTTCCCAGAAGAAATGACATGTAGTTTATATCTAAAGAATATATAGAATTTCTCCAAGTAAGGCAGGCAGAGGAGTTGATCCAAGTGGTGAGCACAGCATTTGCAAAGGCAAGGAGGCAGGAGAGAGCACGTTGGGGGAACTGAAGGAATTCTGAATGGCCAAAGTACAAAGAGGGGTGTAGCAGAGGCGAGGCTGAATGAGTAGGTTCCAAGTTAGGAGAGAGCATAGAGAACGAATGGATTAAATAAAACCATTAACATAACCAAAAGATACAGAGTAATTTGCTTGGAAAGTTTTTGGATGTTTTTCTTTTGTTTTGTTTTTTGCTTGCTTTTGCTTTTTGAAAGTTGAGGGATTTTTCAGTTTCTTTTGGTGACATCATCATGTCACTTCGATGACTAAGGAGCGTCTGACCCAACCCCTGGTCTTTTCAATTGCCTCATATGCATGTGAAAGTTGGATAAAGAAAAAGGAAGATGGAAGAGAAATTGATGTATTCAAAATGTGGTGTTGGCAAAGAATATTGAATATATCATGGACTGCCAAAAGAATGAACAAATCAGTCTTAGAAGAAATACAATCAGAATGTTCTTTAGAAGTGAGGATAGTGAGACTTTGACTTGCTTACTTTGGCTACATCATCAGGAAAGATCAATAGCTAGAAGAGGACATCATGTTTAGTAGACAGCCAATGAAACGATGGCAACTCCTAATGAGATGGATTGACACAATAGCCGCAACAATGGACTCAAATATACCAACATTAATGAAAGTAGCGCCAGACTGGGCAATGACTCATTCTGTTATACGTAAGATCGCCATGAGTCAAAGCCAACTAGACAGCAACTAACAACATCTGGTGACATGGTCAGGAAGTTGGGCTCCATGGGTAGGGAAAAGAAAAGCTAGAAGAGACTCAGCTCTCTGCAGCAGGTCCCACCAACAGGGCATATGGTACCAGGGAAGCAAGAGGTGAAAAAGAGAGGACAAAAATAAGCTCTTTGTGGCAGATGTGACTTAGATAATTCAGACACTGTGACTCTACAGCAATTTTGATTTCTTTTCTCCCTTGTTCATAAAACTTCCATAAAATTTATTCACCAACATAAAGCAAGTATTTTAATCTTGTGCTAGCCCAGCTCTGAAGAATGAGGGAAGGTTCATGTCTACCTTTTGGGGCAAAGTGGACAATGGATGGTTGAAACATACAAAGACTCAGACATGAGATCTCAAAAAGCGATCAGGAGAAACTAAAGATAAGCGTTCAAAGAGAGAAGTGATAGGCAACAACCAAGACGTGTAAGACCCACCAAGAAAACCAAGAATCCTCAGGGATGTTTGGGAGAGGTTTGAATTTCCTGTAGTCAGCTTGGAATGGGAACATGGTTATTATATATGGATTCTAAATGAAAGGATTATCCCCAAAGGCGAGGGGCTTGCAGATACATATGTTACACTATGAAATTTGACCCACTTGGAGCAAAGGAGAATGAAGAACACCAAAGACACAAGGAAAATATTAGCCCAAGAGATAAAAGGACAGCATAAACCAGAGACTCCACCAGCCTGAGACCAGAAGAACTAGATGGCGCCTGGCTACCACCAATGACCACCCTGACAGGAAACACAACAGAGAGTCCCTGCCGGAGCAGGAGAAAAGTGGGTTGCAGAACTCAAATTCACATAAGAAGACCAGACTTAATGGTCTGACTGAGACTGGAGGAACCCTCGAAGACATGGCCCCCGGAGACGCTCTGTTAACCCAGAACTAAAACCATTCCCGAAGCCAACTCTTCAGATAAAGATTAGACTGGACTATAAAACATAAGATAATACTCGTGAGGAGTGTGCTTCTTAGTTCAAGCAGATACACGAGACCAAATGGGCGGCTCCTGTCCGGAAGCAGGATGAGAAGGCAGAAAGGGACAGGAGCTGGTTGGATGGGCACGGGAAACCCAGGGTGAAGAGAGGGAGTGTGCTGTCACATTGTATATATCCCCTGGTGTCTCTCTCTATATATATCCCCTGAAGTCTTCTTTAAACAATAGTTTAGCTTAATTGGTAAAGAATGTCTGCCTTGAGCGTTGTGCTCTTTTAAAGAGCTATCT